ATAGTTTCTGCCCTAAATCGAATGACATGTTAATTATAAGGTCAATAGCTTATTATATTACCATATTACCAAGAGCCTTCTGATAAATAATTTACGTAATATAAACAAGTGATATCTCGATCTCGCTCAGGTTTTACACAACCTCGAGTCGGGAAACAGTTTTCCCGAGGCGTTTTCCACGGAGTTTATTTTCCTGTTTCGTTTCACTTATCTATGACAATCGCGATAAACTTAATTATATGTATGAAACGTTCAGTATAATAGCGTAAAGTTTTCAGTAAAATTATTTTTTTAATTTTAGTTTTTTTTTAAACTGAAATTTGAAGCTTTTTAGGCTAAGATTACTTGCATGTCAGTTCTGTTTTGTTCCCTGCATTTGGTTGTCACAGAAATTCAAGTTTTTTTTATTGTGATTAACCTTTGATTCAATCTAATCAGACGCGTTTTATCTATGATAATGATTACTTTGAAGATAAATTTACGTACAAACAAACAAAAAAGGGTCTTGACAGACGGACGGACGGACAACAAAGTGATCCTATAAGGGTTTCGTTTTTTTTCCTATGAGGTACGGAACCCTAAAAAGGGTTAGTTCAAATTACTTATAACGGCTATTGTTCAGTTGTACGATTCGCTCAACGTTTTACATTACTGGTTCAACAAACAGAATATCACAATGGTCTGTCTAATGTTACTTAACCATAAAAAATCTCCCGTAGCAACTTAATCGTTCCTTAACCATTGATTAAAGAGGAATATCTGTTTCAGGTTACCATTTGTTAAAATCTTTCTATCTTATATAATATATAAAATTCTCGTGTCACAATTTTCCTCTCCTCCAACTCCTCCGAAACGGCTTGACCGATTCTCATGAAATTTTGTGAGCATATTGAGTAGGTCTGAGAATCGACCAACATCTATTTTTAATCCTGCACGGACGTAGTCGCGGGCGACAGCTAGTAATATTATAAATGCGAATGGATGGATGGATGCATGTTTGTATGAACGTATCTCTAGAACGGGTGAAGGAAACACTGTACTAATTAAGATTTTTTAATTTCGCGCGGGCGCAGACGCGGGCGACAGCTAGTGATAAATAAAAAAAACGGTTCACGGTTCGACAATCTTTGTTTATAGCCGCGTTGAAATAAGCATACAAGTATTTTATGCATATTATATCATGCATGCATTGTGCTATTAATATGCTTTATGCGTGGAATGTAACGGTTTAATTGATCGAATGAGGTCGATTCACTAATAAATTGAAAGCTCGGTTGCCGCAAAATCACTTAATTTGCGCTTCAATAGGCAGCTAAGTGACCTACATTGATAAATTAAAATCACAAAAGAATTATTAAATTATTTAAATACTCAGTTATTTATCGTCTTTTAATTAAGTATATATGTTTACATAAATATAAAAAAATTTACTACAAAAAATTGATAATTTTTACTTTTTATATAATGGATACTTTAATAGCAATTATGTATTTATCACTTTATCCATCATTAAAAACAATTGCTTAGAATTATTAGGCCCTTCGTACACAAGGCTCAATAGATCTCCGATACTCAGTTTTATTAGTCACTTAGCGATTTACGCTTAGAGATTGGTATTCACGCTTAGCCATTTTATTCTTTCATCGCCGAAACCAGTCGCTAGCCACTTGTTTGTCAAAATCTACGTGCAAAAAGTCGCTCCGATTTTTAAGACTTCGGACCAAATCTATACAGTTAACATTTTGTAAATTAGAGTCAGTCGTGTAGTGAAAGAAGTCCAGGTCAATAGGTTACTCGCGTCGACGATTACTAATTGTGTGTACGTGAAAGGGTCGAATAATATCGGAGATTTGCGTACCCTTGTGTCTGAAGAACCGTCAAAATAAGACATACGACTAATATATTTGCTTTCAATGCTTTGAATTTTATTTTCATTTGTTGTTAGTTAATAATATTATAATTTTTTTTACAATGATGGTTAAGAAATGCATTTTTCAGTTCGTTGCACTTTCCTTTATTTCTCTAAGTCGTTTAAAAAGTAAAAAATCTGTCAATTTACTTTAAAATATGCAGTCGTCATTCGGACACGGCATAGAGATAATGAATAAATAATACACATAAGATATTATTCATCACAATAAAATGTATTCTTTTATTGGTCGAATTTTCCTTTAATAAAGATTTATTATCTTTAGTCATGGATGACTATAATTATAACCTTCAAACGATAGTGTAATGACCGTTTACTGACGCGGAAACAAAAACTCTTTTGTTCTCAGCTCCTCTGTACCTGCGAAAGTGCAGATGTCATATTTGTCACTACCTGTTTTACGTGTCAATTTAACCGTGGGGAATACACGTAATGCGGTCCCTCTTTGTCTCATTGAAAAAAATGAGATAACGATATGTGGTTGGAGATAACAACGGTGGAACGGTTATTTGTATTATACTTACAATGATGCAAAGGTCATAATAATTATCAACCTCCTTGCTAGTCGGAAGTTGTTATCGAAAAAGTAGTTACTTTTACTATCAGAATGTTTGCTGGATGTTCGCAAAACATGTCCTCCAGCTCATTTCATGTGCATCTTAGTATGGTAGTATAGTTTTAATTTGATTGCTCCGTCCGTCGCGACGCCCTCGCCGACGCAAATTTGGTACCCGCAGCCTTATGAGTCTTATGAGTGTTGATCTTAGTTTATGGTATAATCAATTTTAGAAACGAGTAAAAAAGAATATTGATTAAGAAACCAAAAATTTTACGTGAATATTAAATTTTTATTTTTAATTTTTTTACAATATTTTAAGCCAGATAAACTTAACATAAGTTAACATATGTTATGTAATATCATTGACATATATGTAAATACATATGTATGTTACATAAACCCAATGAATGATCTTGACTTACAAAGATAAGAACATTTTCCTGGTTGATTTTTATAGTTTATGTATATAATTACGTGTGTTGCCGTTTGTCTAAAAATTAGCCAAAAAATAAATGCATATATAACGAAGTTATAAATAGAAAAGTTAAAATTAATTTGCAATTTAAATTTTGCAGACAAGTAAAAAAGAGAATTACGAAACGTCGCTCATTAAAGAATACTTATATACCGCGCCATTTTATATATATAACATTTTAAAATAATTGTAATAAACAAAAAGTTAAAGTATTAAGGAATAATATATAAAATAGTCATCATCAGATCACTATATGTCCCTACCGAGTGGCTCGGAGCCTACCCTAAGTTAAAGGTGGTTAGGCCATAGTCAAACACGCTGGCCAAGTGCGGGTTGGTTGACTTCACACATATCTTTGAATTTCTTCGCAGATATGTGCAGGTTGCATCACGATGTTTTCCTTCACCGTAAGAACGTCGGATAAATGTACATATGTTAATCGAAAAACACATTGGTACATGGCGGGATTCGAACCCAGGACCTGCAGATTGCAAGTCAAGTGCTTAACCCTGAGCCACCGACGCTCTATAAAATAGGTCTAAACAAATATCGTTGAAAATTGGAATCGAACATAATCTGGAAGAACGCTTAGGCTACTAATAAAGTTTTTTTCAATTCGCACAAACGAAGTCGCGGGCAACAGCTTGTCTAATAATAAATGTGTTTTCGAAAATCGTAATTATTAATACTGTAACTATGATGACAGGTGACATGATTAAGAAGGTGAACAAAAATTAGGGAAGATAAATCGATTTACAGGACAACTCGGGTGCGCTGACCCCTTACGAGTGGAATACGGACAGGGAGTTGATGATAAGATGATATTATCATACTATCATCTCATTATCATTTACCCTGTTACCATATTATGGTTACTTTCCATAAATATTAAACTTTATGATACACCAACTTCGAATCCAATGCATTTGCAATTCATTCAATAGGCATAGAAAATTAAATAAATTTCGAATTTCTTCAAACAAAATTCTGTTAATTGAAAGTACAGTAGACCTGTGACCTGTGTTTTAGAGACTATTTTAAACTACACATTTAATCGAAACGTATTTAAATGTATTAAAATAGAACATCACAGCAGGTTTCCATAATCAATTGTATATTCATATGTTGTCTATCCAATCATTTGCTTTGAAAAAACAAAGACAACGATATGTGTCCGTGTTAGTGCACTCATGTGATACTATGATATATTAAACTAGCTTTTGCCCCCGACTTTATCTGCACGGAATCTATCTACACAATGAATAAAATTGGAGTGTCTGTTTATAATATCGAAAAATATTGACGTCGCTTTAACGAAAACCAATTTTTAACATCTTTGTCTGTCTATCTATCTGCCTTTGTTCCAGGTAATCTCTTTTTTTAACCGCCACCTTAACTGGACCATATTTTCCTGTAGTCAGAGCATTTCTTTAGATTAATTGTTAATTATCATAAAGACAAGTAGTAAATCAAAACAAAATAATAGATTCATAAAAGTAAAAGTTATATAGAAATAAATTTAATCTAATCTCTATAAAAAGAAAGAATCAATTTCATAATACGTTTTATCAATTTTAAAATTATAGTAATCAATCAATTAAAACTTACTAGTGTGAACCACTTGTTGTGTTTTTCACAATAAAAAATTGTTTAAACGAATACGGGATCCATTCCACAACTCAACCCTTAATCAGGCTATTGGCGCATCAAATTTTAATTTCTAGGCAATGACAAGATATTATCTAACTGTTTATTTACTTTAATAAACCTACAGTTAGATATTAAGATTAACCTAGTTGACTTTCACGATATACACTGACCGCCTTTCAAAAAGAAAATAAAGTTATGTCTCCACCGAGGCGATCAAGTCAACCGTAAATTAGGAGTAAATCTTTAGTCAACAACAATAGCTAAGTAGGGGTAAACAACATATGTACATATTTAAATTTCTTTGTATGTAGGTTGGAATACGATTTTCTTCTTCACCGTAAGAGTGTTGGTTAAATGTACATAATATTAAATTCGATAATATTTACCTTTATGTGTGCTGGTAGTAAATCCGACATCTTCAAATAATATATGTACAGGCGGTCGCTTCGCCATGCGATTCAGAGCTTTCAGTGTGGAACCAGCCCTTTCTAACGCGGCGGGTGTCCATTGATTTTCAGTCGGATCTAACACTAGTGGATTAGGATTGTTCGTAGGCGCATTATGGGCTAAAGTAGCTCCTACAATCGCTTTCCTAACTAATGGTACTTTCGACATTTTTATTATGTAAGAGAAAAGAATCGTTATTAATTTTAATATCGAATTCTGTTGTGAATTATCGCGTGTCCATACTGCGCGGGAGTCGCGTGGCACGACCGTTGTGTTTGAAGACACCGTGCCTACTGAACAACAACAGCGACGCCTAGTCTCTTCCCCAATATTGCATTTTTCATGCACAAATTAATGATTCAGTTGTTTACTTTTATCTTTTTTATTTATTTGACGTATATCTTTTCACTTTCGGAAGTGAAGCGAGGCATGTCAGCGAAATTATATCCCGTTGCATAGCTACAGACGGACAAATATATTTGTGGCATAGCAATGTTTTTGTAGCTGTGAATCAATAGTGGAAACTCAAGTAGTAGATTGTTTTGATTAATTACTCCAAACCCCCATTTGAATGAAGAATGTTTGGTTTGATTGGAATTGATACTAGTAAGTAAGCACTTGAATTGTAATTTACAGGTCCTATGTACCTTGCGCTAGTTTAGTTTCATAATACATTTGGTAATTTTATTATTGAAATTACTAAATAGTGAATTGGCCTATATGAAAATCAACTAATATAACTCTTATATACGGACATTTGATTGAACATGCTTATTGATCGTCTCTTATCACAATTAATACTTTTTGACATGACATAGCATTGATAAAAATTTCTATATTGATTAGCCTTTTTTAATACTAATAATACAAAGAAATGCGCTTAGTGATTACTACTGATATTCTTAATCTTATTTCTTTAAATGAGCAATTCTTGTTTATATATAATTGGAATCTCGGAATCGGCTTCAACGATTTTCATAAAATTTAGTATACAGGGGTTTCGGGGGCGATAAATCGATATAGCTAGGAATCATTTTTAGAAAATGTCATTTTATTCGTGTTTTATCGATAATCAACTTAAACATAAACTAAACTTTTTCTATCGGTAAGATCAAAAAATATAATATTATTCATATTTCATAATTTTATTAGTATTTCGTACTTAAATATAATTTCCAAAAAACACAATTTAAAAAAAAATACCAGTCATCCAGATACTTATAGTTTAATCAAGATTGTTAAATTATTTTTATCTCATTTTTATAACATTTATGTTGTTTTAGTCTACTAGATTAATAAATGGTAGTTTTGTAACGATTTGAAAAGAACTAGAAAGAGTTGCTTTATTTGAACAGATTTGGTGGAGGAATCAAAAAGAAAATCGCGTAAAGTTTTCATCTCATCTCATGAATCAAGCATGTTAAAATCTTCTAACAATAGTGCAACTAAGGCATGGCAGGCTGGCAAGAACTGAAACCGCACGCATCGTGCGAAGGTCTCTGCAGCCCTGACCACTGGTTGTTTGAGTCATAGGACTCCGCAGCCGGTGGTGCTCTATTTTTAATACAATAATATATTGTATTTTTTTAATTTTTTATATGAAATGTAATATATTAAGAATACGGTTAATAAATGAATAATAGTGCAACTAAATTTGTAGAAAATGAGTCTTCAAAGAACAAAAGAATTTATCATTTCCCTTAGTCTTTCTTTACTTAAATTCATAAGCAAAATGTGAATAGTTGCGTTGAAATATTACCACGTTACTGAAACGTTGGACACAAAGCTTTAAAAATTACTATGCAAACAACAAGTTTATTTTTAAAACTTTAAAAGTATTACTACTGTTCAGCGTAGTTCCCGCAGTGAACCGCGAAAACAAAGAACTAATGTTATGCATATAATCTGCTTCAGCTTTACTGCGGCATACTGTGGTGTACAATAACTTATGCACTTAATATATTTGTATTAATATACTAGAAAATAACAACAAAACTCATTCCTGTAACTCAAATAGTAAGATATTTTTTTTTGTTGATAAAAATATTAGCAGATTTTTGTTAATTTACTAATATTTCTTTCTACCTTTCCAACTAAGCTCTTGGCTTGTGCTAGAATATGGTTTACGACAATAGTCGAATGGCGGAATTCGAACTCTCGACCACCTGATCGGAAATCCGTACCTTTAACCATTAGGCTATTGGCGCTTAAAATTTTTATTCGTTTAATGATCCCACGACCGTGAGTAATAGCTGAAATAAAATGATTTAAACAAAATAGAAATTAATTAATTTTAAAGTAATAACATTTTTAACGAATGAAAGTGTCTGACTTCTTTGATATATTTAATAAGTTTTAGTATCTTATTTTATGTAAATATTATTCTCTAAGATAATTTAATGTAAATGTAAACATAATATTAATGGAATGTTCAATGAAAATTTATTGGCAAGAAAAAAACTGATAATAAGGAAAATATTTATATTAAAAAGTGAACAAAGGAAAGTACAAAGGGCACCGCGTCACTGTTGCAAAAGGAAGGTACGGAATCTTTATTGAAAGGTTATAATAAACAATTTGCCAATAAATACATAACAATAAACCATAAATAATTTTCTTGGTTTTAAAAATATTTTAGTTTATTAGTAAATGAGATTTTTTTCTCAAAAAATTCATAAATGACGAACGTGGTTTATGAAGTTGGAGTGGATGACATTTTTCTTATTAATAAAAATTAATTTAATGTTATTCATTTTTATTTTTTTAACGATAAGTTTTATTAAGAAAAATATATCGGAATAAATATTTTCAACGACTTTCGCTAAGTATTTTAAATAATCTTTAAATAAGGATACTGGCACGTGCTCGCCTCCTCGTAGATTAAAAAAAATCGTAATAAATATAGCCTATGTCACTCACAGTGTAGCTTTCTAACAGTAAAAGTATTTTTCAAATCGGTTTCGTAGGTTCGGAACCTATACAGCACAAACAAAAACACAAAAGTCAATACTTTCTTAATAAAAAAAAATATATACAAAACATATTATATTTAAAACAGAACAACTCCGGCTGCGGAATCCCATGACTTAAACAACCAGTGGTCAGGGCTGCAGAGACAGGAACCTTCTCACGATGCGCGCGGTTTCTAGGATAACTGCCTTTTGTATCGGGCCCTCAATCCAACTGTGTAGCGAGAGCTTCTTGAGATGTTGGTCGAAGCTCTTCGCTATCAGTCCATTTACCGATACGACTATCGGAATAATGGTAGTCGATTTCATTATTATTATAAATTAAAAAGAATGCAAAAAAATAATACACATGAATGTTTATCTAACTATCTTACTGTATCTTACTATAATATTATAAATGCGAATCTTTAGATGGATGGATGGATGGATGTTTGTTTAATGGCATCTCCAGAAAAGCTGAACGGATCTCGATGACATTTGGCATAGAAATAGAACATAGACTGGAAAAACACATAGGCAAAACGTCACAAAGTTTATTTTTTATTCAGTGCAAAGGGAGTCGCGGGCGACAGCTAGTACTTTTATAAATGTCATCCCGCACAAAGTCGCAGTCAAGTAGTGTACCGAAAGTAGTAATTACCTAATGCACCGTCGAGTCATGTTCACGCTTCACGAATAAGTCGTATTTAGGCTTTCCGCGCAGTTGCATACGTTCTGTACGATTTCTCTAAGCCAGTGGTTCCCAATTAGTTTTTGCTGCGTACCACTTCAAAAAAGACCTCATACCTGCGTACCCCTTATTGTAGCAATCACACTAATATTATAAATTTGAAAGTTTGTGAGTGTGTTTGTATGTCTGTTACTGCTTGACGTTCAAACGCCTGGACCAATATGACTGTAATAAAATAATATTTTGAACATTGTTCTTGTTTTTTCCAATAGCCGTGTGTACCCCTCGATGCAACTTTACGTACGCGTGCCACTAATTGGGAAACCCTGCTCTAAGCGAAACGATGAGTAGTGTGTGTATTCTTATGCAATTATTTACAAAAATATTAGTTTAGAAAAACACCTTTGTAAAGAAAAATTATGATTCATGCACAATTGTTTTGGATAAGACGGGTCATAAAAGCGGACAAATTTAGATATAACGTTTAAAGTACTTTAAACGTTATATCTGAATTTGTCCGCTTTTAAATTTGTACTTCTCGTTTTTACGCAATTTGATGGGAATTATTTTCGTATACATTACAATTTTTTTTACTGTTTATGTTACTACCAACTCGGGATGATGGAATTTTTATGGATTACTACAGCTAGTAATCCATAAACTCCCGCCCGCGACTCCCTTCCCGTTGAATTAAAAAAGAGCTTAATAGTAGTCTATGTGTTTTTCCAGACTATGTTCTACATGTGTGCCAAATATCGTCAAAATCTGATGAGCCGTTTCGGAGATACCAAACAAACATCCGTCCATTCATCCATCTAAACTTTCGTATTTATAATATTAGTAAGATATCGTTTCATTGCAGGACAAATGCCTCCCTATCTTTCTGCGAGCTTAAACAAGTTAACGTATTGGCTGTTAACAATGTATTGTCAAAATACGTGACATTGTTAGCGGTCACAATTTAATGTCAAGGACTGTCTGGTTTAAAGATATATAGTGCGACAAACTTAACTGGCCAGGTAAAAGTTTTAACGCTATCGTGGTCAGTTATCTTATAAAATAACATACAAGATAATAATCTTGAGGTACTTTTTGTTGCTTTACTTTAGTATCACTTATTCATACCGGGTCAGATAAGTTTGTCTGACTATACTCTGCTTGTATACAGTTCAGCGTAGACGTAACTCCACGGAAGTGTTTCTGTCCGGTTGTTCACCCGCAGTGCATTCATAGGATTATGTAACGTATCGTGTCATAATGCTCGCTAACCGGAGACTCAGACATTAATTGGAACTAGTTGATAGCACATGCATTTGAAATGCATACGAAAGTTAATGCTATATTAGTAAATAATAATTACATTTATCATTATTCTTATCAAAATTAATTATGACATTGGTAATTTGTATCAATTTTCGTCAATTTTAAATGATTTTTTTTAATATTTCTGTTGGGGTAACACTGGACTGGCCCTAGGGTTGCGTATCCAGTGCCTTTTATTAAGCTATTGTAATTTTGTGTCATTTATGCATAGTTAGGTCAGATAAGTTTCTCGGTTTCTAGTTACTAATATAAATCTTATTAAATAATAGCTGTCGCCTGCGATTCCATCTGTGCACAATTAAAATAAAATAGTGTAC